TGAGTCACTTTACATGGGCAATATTAAGAAGATCAGCCTGTAGCCTGTGTTAAAATGAGGAATGAGGAGAATCTTGTTAAGTCATATTTTTGTATAGGTTTCACAAATAATGAAATTATGGTTCTTTATGACCAGTTCCTCAAAGCAACATCATAACTTTATTCTCATAAAATCAACACTTTTATCTACTCAGAATGTTATGATGTAATTCCAGAAATCTTTTTTCCCCTCTAAAAGGGTTTCATATGGTCTCACTAAAAGGTTTTCCTGGTACCAAACACTAACACTCCAGCAGCTGATCCAAAGATCCGCTGCTCATCACGACTAGAAAGTGCTTTAATCAGTAAAGTCGGCTCCTTTAACGTTTGGTATAACTAGAAAACCATCTAGACGTTAGAGAAACATTGTCGTATGACATTATAATGGATAGAATTAGAGTAAGAAGACAAAAAAAAGATGAATTAGTAAAATCTGAAGAGTTTAATTTAGTCACCTGTCTGCGGAGCGTGCGGCTGAGCGTGTGCGTGCGCCTGGGCGGGGGTAGTCGTGGTATACTCTCTGAGTCTGAGTGGCTGTGGGGGCTGATGGGTCTGAAGAGGTCTGTGGGAACGCTCAGCTGCTGGGAGAACTCCTCTGGCTGCGAACGCACCGAGGCACTGGAGTCTGCACACAAACAGACGCAGGGCTCAGAGGTACAAAACATAAAATACCAAACGGCAGCTGTGTAGATCTCATTAGAGATGACCTGTGTCTTGCTGTACTTATGTGAGCATGCACTGTATTAAAATAAAAGCCAATCATTTCTGTTTTATTCTGATCATGAATTCCAGATTAAAAAGAAATTATCCTTTTCCTCTTTTTCTCGAATTTAATTTGATTGCTTCACCCATATGGACTTTCCTTCCCTCATTGCTTTAAAAATGCAGCATCTTAGGAGGGGGTAGGTTGTTGCTATGTGGTAACGTAATGTAACGCTGAACCAGTCGACTGTAGCCGACTTGTGCTTGCCTTTTCCAACGGCGACAGCAAGTTCCACCAATCACAGATGCTGCTATTACACCTGAGGATTGTGGTAAGTGTAGTACTCATCCTTCACATCATGTGTAAAACCTGTTCGCAATTGATATCATTTGAACTCGTGGTCCATAGAGGAGCATAACACATCGTTGACATCGTTAGTTAAAATTCAATTCATTTCCTAAATTACCTGATTGGGACCTATGGGCGCCCTGTATGTGCTGGGGCCCCTGTGCAAGAAGCTGTGCTGGAGCCGGGCCTGTGAGGCCAAAGGGCTGCGGGGGGACGAACATGTAGCTGTCATTGGGCAGGGAGTGTGTGCGTCCCACTGTCGGCTTCCTGACGCTCAGCAGGTTATCCCTCAGTGGCTCCCCAGGATCGAGCTGCTCCGTCTGCTGGAAGAGAGAAGAGCGTCAGGGTCCTTGTGGGGCTGGAGGGGTCGGGCTACTCTTTAACTCACACACTCTAACACTCACACTGACATTTCTCTACAGCACAATGTGGACAAAGAGGCAGTGATCGTCAGCATACATGGAAGGATCTTTGCACATTGGAGTTGACTGGCACAGAGCTGCCACAAATCACAGAAACTGATCTGGATTACAATTTCCTTCACTTTTTTAGCATTTACCCCCCCAGTCATGTAAGTTTCATGATTGTGTGTCAGCTAGGGCAGTGACTTGCAGCCTGACCCGTTCACATTCATCACAGAGCCTCTGGAGTTCCAGCACACGTTACAAACCCAAACTACCACTACTACACCACAGGACAGTACAAACACAGAAGAAGACTGATAGGAGAGGACCGTGAGAAGAGACACGGACTCAACATGTAAAGCACACAGGAAAAATACTGAGGAAAAGAAGAAGAAGAGAAACAGGACAGAGGAAGTTAAGAGAGAGGAGTAAGGAAATTAAGAGTAGGGACGGAGGAGAGAAAACTGCAGACTGGCAGGTGAGGAGGCGCACTACTCTACTGGACTGGACTGAAGAGTTACACACACCAGGCTGGAAAGGTGGAATGAGAAAGTTGGAGGGCACATAGTTAGATTCACCAGGGTCTTCCAACGCCACTCGTCCTTCTCTACCTCTACACTGACTTGCCCTTTTTTATTCGTTCTTTTCGTATTTGTCCCAACAGACTGTTATTGAATTGATTAATCAACAGTGACTTCAGCTCATGTGTTGGCTGCGGTTTTCTGCGTCTGAGACAGATGATGCATAAATCGATGCCTCTGCATCTCTGGCCAAGGTTACAGTGACCCTCTCTGGGGGGGACATTAAGGAGCCAAACTGATGGTTAATTATACACTGACACACCGATGACATTTAATTCATTTTCAATTTACAGAGAGAGGATGTCCTTCCCCTCAATGACAGAGGCGTCATAGATGGATGTATAGATTGATTCTGGTGAGGAGGCATATGTGTGAGAAAATAATGGATGAAGTGATGGACTGGAGTCTATTCATTTCTAGGTTGAAGACATTTTAGAGTGTGAAAATACCATGACCAATTAATTCTATTAGCTAAATGTGGATATTAAATAAACAATTGATGCCAGTTATTATGTTGTTATAATTGGATCAATTCAGTACTGTATCAAAAAACCTTCTTATGAATTTAGACTAATAGCCGTCCCCTCGCATTTGTCAAAAAAAGGACACAAGGCTGATATTAATGGTTAAAATCACAAGATTTTTTCTAATAACTCTGAAAAGAGATACTTAAAGGCTCGTTTGGAGTTTTCTTTACCTCTCTTCACCCCTATTTGTGTATCTATCTAAAGCAATAATGTGCCACAGAGCATGGCAACGTACCAGGAAAAAGGAAAGAGTTTGAAGTGTTTGAGTTTGAAGTGCATGAACTGTGTTTGTTAGGTGAGAAACATCGTCTAAAACATCTCAGACTTGTTTGACAGTCAACGCTGTGTCCTGTGAATGATTGGAAGGCTGCTACAGATTCTTTACACTGGCTTTGATAATGATTTTAGTTGTGTTGGGACATTAAGGTCCAAAGTAGCTCTTCAGCTAATTTATGGATCCAGTTGGTTTCCCCCCTGCATCCCCCTGGCACACAGTGTGTGAGTGTAGTCTGGGGACAAGTGGCTTTGGAAGGACCCAGGCAAAAGGACACACCAAAAGATACTGCAGTGGGGAGGAAGAGGGATGGACAAAGAGAAAGAGATGAACTGTCAGTACATTGCAGTCCAGACTGGTTAGAAAGAGGGGGTTAAAATCGTCGGGGGTCGAGTCGTCTGTCAGAGCTAGCGACCAGGATTTCTCCGAGGCCAGAGACAGAACTTCCATCTCCGCTAGAGGGATCTAGGCAGGAAGAGACAGTGACTTGTGAGCAAAGAAAATCCACGAACGCTTTTTGTACACAAAAATAAGGACACTACAAACAGTTAGAACCTGTGGCTAACGTGTGTAAAAAAACAGAATAAGGTAGCAGAGAGCAGAAAAGACAGAGGGATATGTAGAACTGGAAACTGCATAAGAACTGTTCTTTCACAACTTCAACTGTATTTTGGACTCAACAACACAGCAATATGGTATGATACACACACACGCGCACACACACGCGCGCGCACACACACACACACACACACACACACACACACACACACACACACACACACACACACACACACACACACACTCAGGGTCAATTGTACAATCAGATGAACGCCTGCATGTTAAACAGTCAAACTAGCGAGTAGGAAGAAGATTAATTTACATTCCATGTATTTGTGTGGCAATTTCAAAATAAGAGCTAATTGGTAAAGGGGGAATGCTTTGCCTTTGTTTATAAATGTGGGGGGTTAATAAATGGCACTTACAAAATGGGCAGCGGCTACTCTAACCATATTGGGGAAACAGCAACAGTCAACGAAAGATCCAATAAAAGTTTTCTTCACCAATAAAAGGTAGAGATTGTTATACTGGGTAATGTTGCCAATCTCCTCACGAAGACCTAGAATAACAATTTCAGCCTTTTTTGGTTAAAAAAAAACATTTAGTGGACATTTCTTGGACTGGATTGTATTTTTTTAAGTACTATCATTTACACATCCACACTTTAACTGAGGGCCCAGGTTAGAAAATACCATCATTATAAAGAACTAGTGTCCACAAGCCTTGACTGTTTCTATCTGCCGTCTATTTGGCCTGGCACTGATTTAACTGGGGAAAAAGTTCTCTGACAGGCAAATGAGCCATCTCTGCAGAAACTCAATGGAAAACATTTTTGCCAACATATGTGAATGAGTCAAAGAGAGGGTGAGGTGGCTTCTGGGGTCTGGTAATAACATCAAACCCATTTAAAGCTTTGAGAGAATAAGGTTTTTGCAATGCTAATGCAATTGGCCAAAATTTCCCTTCAAATGAGGAAACTATATGCCCAGATGCATTATTCAGTGATCTCAGTGATCCATGGCTTATCGATTGAACATCACTTTGCATACTTTAGCGTGTAAGACTGTGAGCTATATGGAACGCTTTCAGTGGGTCTTCAATTTACGGCGACTGATTACATTACATGTAAACACAACAAACATGTCACACCCACATGCAGACACACGAGACAGAAAGCAGTGAGGGGGAGACAGAGCGGATTCTAAACCATGTCACTGAGGCTGCTGAAACAGGCCAGAAACCTGCCAGGCTTCAATGAGTGTAAGTGAGTGAAGATGTGAGTGAGGGGATGAGATCATGGCTGAGGCCGGGAATGATGGACTGTACTGTGGTGGGCAACAGAGATGGTTGGAAAAGGAAACGACATATCCAGTGTGTAGGAATGACTGGGGAAGAGCTGTGGGGCTGCAGGACATTCAACAGACATCACATTGCATGGCTTTACACTGGATGATGAAAGTTAGCTCTACAGACAGAATGATCTGTCTGACTGTCTGAACTTTTTAAACCAGACTATAAAACTCATCCATCTTCAAGACATTTACTCTGGTACGGAATCATTCAACTTTATTTTCATTAAAACAGAGTAAATCCTGCCAATATGGAGACGACGCTTCACTTTATTATCATGATTTAAAGGGTCCGTTCATCCAAATTAGAACAAAAGGTTTGTTTTATTGTCAAACCTAATATCTCTAATAACAATCACAAGTTCTCCAACCCAAAACAAGCATTTTCTGGTCTAGTGCCCCTAAGGTGGCAGAGGGTATGCCAGAGATACATTTTTAGTAACACCCTGATACGAACAAAACAACCCTGTTAATGTCATGACAGTGCTACACTATAGGTTTGTCCAAATTCAAAATATGTCACTGTATTATAAAATCACTTCCATCTTTGTTGCTGTCATAGCTGCTACAGCCACTAGAGGGCCCTGTTACTTGTAGGTAAACAGGGACTTCTGGTGACTCTGCTGAAAACAGATCACTTGACACTAAAACACAACTCCAGGTCATAATAGGCTGCTTTTTTTTATGGGAAGCAGGGAGTCAGAGAATAAGTGATACAATATAAAATCTAATTTATTTTATTACAAATGTTTATTTCAGAAACTGGACAAATAAAATCTATCTGCAAAGATACTACTGATGGAGAAAATGTTTTCCTTTCTTGTAATTTGAGTGAACAGACTCTCAAAAGCATAATACTCAGACACAATCTTTGAGCTCTTTGTATTTTTATAGAAATAAGCAGAAATCCTACAGGTAATTAACTTTAATTTAACTCTCCTTTTCTCATGCTTACTTGTAGAGTTCTACTTATTGAAGAGAAATTAGATGTATGAAATGGAGGAGGTGAGTTATCAGTGGTGTTACTGGATATTATTGACCTTCTTGTCGGTGCTGTGCTTGCCGGGCTTGGGGGGCAGCGCGTAGTAGTGGCAGATAGAGCCAGACAGGTTGTCCATCAGACTCAACTCTCCCTCCATTGAACCCTGGATGACCAGGGAGACCGAGTCAAACGGCACTCTCCGCTGGACAAACTTGGATAATGCAGAGAGACGGAGTGAAACAAACAGAAAAAAAGGACAGGGTAAAAAAAAGAGAGAGACAGAAGTCGAGACAGAGACAGTTGAATAAATGTGGACAGAAAGAATGGAGCACAGAGAAAGGGAAGAGAGGAAAAGGCAGTTGATCAGGCAGAAACAAACATATACAAACAGAAAAAAGATAAAGAAACACACAGTAGGAGGACTTGATTATACATCAAACTTAGTTTTAGTTATCTGAATTTCTATGTGTTTTACTGATTAACTTGTTAATACGAATATACGTACAACCTCATCCTCTTCGACATTCACTGCACTGTTACCATTTATACCCACAAGGGGGCAATACAGCACTGCAGTAGACCCGGTTCTCCATGTGTCAGGAGAAGAGGCCAAGGCTTAAGCATACATGTTTAGAAGGCGCAGTCGAGGAAGACGGATAACTTATGAGAGGGTAAACATAACAGCAGCAAGACCTCTATTTCCTATCCTCAGAAACATCCCGGCTGTCTGGAAATAGCTGCTGAAGTGAACAACAAGACCCCGTGGTCCAGCTTTCCCATGGCACTGTGACCTATCTATGACTGGCATGTCCTCTACAGGGGCCAGACACACACACACACACACACACACACACACACACACACACACACACACACACACACACTGTGAGCTATCCTGGTATAAGTCGGTGCATTTTCTGGACACATTAGTGACTTGTAATAAACCATAATCATATCCCAGTGTCTAACATGTTAAGACAAAATGTCAATATGGAAAAAGTACATGTTGCACACATGTGGAAGAAATTTTTTAATTTAAAGAGAACTCAGTAAATAAATGACATCAGTCAGGGGAACAGTCTCGTAGCTCCTAGCAGGAAGTGACCGCGGAACATCTGTCATGTGACACGGGATGCTGTGCAGACAGAGGAGAAGCCATCGCTTTGACCTCCAAGTCATCTGCACATGTGTTTAATGTGTTTAGAATAATCTGATCATAGCAATACATGCACTGACACGACTTTGTGAGGGTTAAGGTAGTGGCGTATAGCTATAATGTGACCTATATGTGAAAAAGGGTTAATACAAGTGTCTCAAGGGAAAAATACAAACTGCTATTGAGCATCTACAACTTACCTCAACTGCTCCTATTTATTCTTATTGACCTCTTCTGATTTTACTAAAATCCAATATTTATGTCATTAAGCACAAACATTACCAAACCATGTAAACATGATGAAGCTGATGAAGGAGAATGCCCTAAGGTGCCTTCAATGTCTCAACCAAAAACACCAGCCTTGTGCGCACACGTGACAAAATGTGAAAACAACATGAAAAGATTTCATACCTCCAGTGGGGGATCAAGACACGAAGGGGGGTCTGTACTGATGTTGACTGAATCTCTGGTTATGTCAGCAGTGGGTGAGTCCATCGGTCCGTCCCGCTCCTGTTCCCTGTCCATTCCTCCGGGGAACCTCCAGGGCGAACCCCCAGAGCTCGACCGGTCCATGCCCAGTGCCAGAGGGTTCAGCTGGGGCGACCTTGTTGCCATGTCTCCCATGTCTGTCTGGAGCTCCAGCTCCAAGTCTGCCTCAGGCAGTGCTCCCTCTTTGGCCTCCTTGTTGCTCTCCTCCAGGTGCTTCATCAGGACGGCAATGACGACATTGACCAGGACGAACTGAGCAGTCAAGACAAAGGAGACGAAGTAGATAGGAGAGACCACCGTGTTGTAGCAGGTGTTGGTGTCCTGGGCGCAGTCTCTTAACGTGTCCTGGAAGAAGCAAGAAAACACAACATTAATACACTGGCTAAAGCTTTAACAGCAAAATAAACCCAAATAGTAGACGGAGGACAATTAAAAACTCTGTCTTTCATTGAGTCATACAAGTTTCCAGTCAGTCCTATATTTCAACAACTATTGCAAAGGATTACCATGAAATTTGGTACAGCCATCACTGATTACTGGTCATGTGCAACAGGGGGGATGGTTGTCTCGATGACATACCAACACATCAGCACCAAATCTGCCTTTTGTTATTCTGCCCGACATATGTGCACATATCACAGACTGAACCTGCTTTTGTCTACGTCTGTGCTTATGACCACAAACTTCAAAGTTAGTTTCACCTTCATTATTCCATTCCAGTTGTCTCCGGTGGAAACTCTGAAGAGCAGCAGGAATGCCATACCGAAGTTTTTAAATGTAGCGTAGCGGCCCAGACCCTCACATGGGTGGAGCTCATCACAAACTGTGGAGACGGGGGAAAGAAGGGAGGGGACGGAGAGATACGAGGAATTGAGAGACGGAAAGATGGAGAGAGGTTCACAGCTTTTCGGTTGTTACAACACAGGGCTTTGCAATGAAGTGATAATATCTGTAATAGTATCTCAATACTCTGAAAGCTACCAGCCACAATTAAAGAGATCAATATGGTATTTAAACAAAAGGATTCTACAAAGCAATCGACACCAGATTGATTTAAGAGGATGATAATTTAATACAGAATTCCTATTATCTTAGTATGAGCTTCCTCTGCTTTGCCCTACTGCCTTTATGCATTTGGCACGTGTGCTTACTCAAGTCACCAAACAGCTCCACTCCCAGAGCTGCATAGATAAAGAAGAGAAGCATGAAGAGAAGACCCAGATTCCCCACCTGCAGAGAGACAACAGGATGGGAGAGGGATTAGTCAGAGGACAGACGTTCTAAGCAAAATAAACCAATAACAAGGGACAACAAACAGCTCATTCCAGAGAGAAATAAAAGGCTGCAAAGCACCAAGGGAAAAACATGCTTCGGCAACTGACTAAATCCCTCCCCTGAGTAGCCATTGTTCAAACTTAGCTAACAAATCATAACTAGGCAAGCTGTGGATTTCTCTGCACATGGAATCATTGTGTATTACACGGATGAAAAAGATGCCCCAAAGACAACTAGCACTTCCTCTGCAAAGTGTTTTTTGCTTAATTTATCTACTCCAGGCGAGGATAATGTGGGGTACTTTGTGATGTTGTCAAAAGGCCATTAAGATTTTTTAATAACATGCTATTCTGTTACAGCCAACTAAGAAGGCAAGGCGATACTGAATAACAACTTTGACACAAATGTTAATTTAGGTATGGAAAGTTTTTCAGGTTCTCTGTTGCTCTTTTATACTCTCAATGCTAATCAGCACGGAGAAACCTGCACACACCTCTCTCACCCCCTGCTGGATTTATTATTTATGAATATTTCTGACAAGTTTGAGGAGGAATTAGCCTGGAACAACACTCAATCTCTGTGAGGCACACAGAGTATCAAAGAATGCTGAGAACACTTTGTGTTATTTTTTCACTCGATCCAAACACTTTGGAACTTGTTCTAATTTAACAACTCTGTCACCCTCAAATCCACCCACCATCATTCAAAACAAAACCTCAAGCTACATTCGCTTCTCAATCACAGCGGGAGGCTGATAATGCAAATAAGGGTCTCTAGAGCTGGCGTAAAGCTCATGGGAAAAGACTACACCCCTGAAACTGAAGAATACGTCCCAAAAAAAGACACGCTTCTGGGATGTAATTTTAGGAAGAGCTTCTGTGGGATGTGTTTGGATGTGTGAGATCGGATCCATGGCAGTGTGAGGAAGGAAAAGAAGAGTCAGCGGATGTTATTTCACAGAGTTGACTGTGTACCTGAGGCAGGGCTTGCATAACAGTGTCCAGCAAAGCTCTCATCCCCACCGCCATCTTCAAGAGCTTCAATACTGTGGGGACACACAGAAAATGAAAAAAAGTTGTCTTGACAATAGTAAGATTTTTCAGTATTACTTATAGAACAGAGACTGGAAAAGGACACCTTTTGCTCACTTAGAATCTAATCCTACTATTAGTGGAGTCAAAGATTTGTATTAAAGCGTATTAAAGGTTGCAGTTTGTTTAGATCACTGGTATGATAGCAGGGTTCCGATGATGAAAAACAAGGCTGAGATTAAACATATAAATGGATGGAATAGAAGAGGTGCACAAGGAAGGCTGAGGTAAAACACTGACGTAAAACAACAAACCCTGAGGCCTCCTAGGTTAAACATTAAAGACTGATATTTTACCACATCACCAGTCCACACACTGAGTTTTTTTCACTCACTTACGCACACTAATACAACAAACTTTTAATATGACATGTCACAATTCGTATTACCTTAATAGTAGGAATGATTGATAGCCCCAGTAGTGGGAGGTAACAAAGTACCTTTGCTTGGTTATTGTACTTAGGAACATTTTTCATGCAACACTACTAAAGTACTAAACTATACTTTTATTCGAGTACATATATCAGCAAATATCTGTACTTTGCGCTCCACTTTTACAATGCGTTGTGTTACATGTTCACATACTTGATTTTCACTAACATCACTGATGAAGAAACACCTAAAATTCATTCGGTAGAGGCCACTGTTGAGACGCTGCCGTAATGATAGGAATAAGTTCGGGGCTAGTTGGAAAACTGCTAATACCGTTGAGCTACTTCCCTATCTGGCCTCCTGGGCTAAGTCAGTCATAACAGAGCTTCTCTATATTTTCTCCCTAAAGGTACCCTAGGAGGTGGAGCGGGTGGTCCACCAACTGGATGGTCTGCAGTTCGATCTCTCCCCTCGTCTCCCACATTCTGAGAACCAAAGTGTCCATTGGCAAGATACTGAAACCCAAATCGCCCCTTACGGCTGTGTTGAAAGTGTATAATTGATGTATGCTAGAGAAAGCAATGCACATAGATGCACGGCATGAATGTGTGTGTGAATAGGTGAATGGCAAAAACTGAACTGTTCAGCACTTTGAGTCGGTATCAAGTACACTGAAATGTACCAATAATTGTATATTCTTTACATAGGCTGCTTACGTAAAATAAAATAAATAAAGCTCTCAGTGCTAACAAGTTAACTGACTGATCGTTAGATTATCTCGTTCTGTCCTGTGCTAAAGTGACCATTATATTCAGAATGCAATTCATCTTGGTTACATCTAAATCCAGTCTGGATATAAGATGTATAGTGATATAAGCCAACAGTGAAAGAAGCCAGCTACTGCTCCCACATCACACACAAGAGGATTAGTTTGTGGCTCTGCTGTGTGACAGTAATCAATAATGATTTCCTGGCTACTTCTTCTATTATACATTCAGTAATCAGCCAAAACAGATGAGCTTCCCTCCCGCCTGTCTTATCTCCTCTTCCTCCCAGCTCCTCTCTCCTCTTCCCCCTCTGTGCTCTCCTCCACTGTAATCAGCACCGAGCACGCAGGGAGTTTAGGCATCTACCTTCCCCGTGCTGAACCTCCTCCATCCATTTCCACCATTTATTTTGCTACACCGAATTCCTCCTCTGTCTCTCACCCACCTACACACCTCTCCTCTGTTCATTTATCTCCTCATTCAGTCCATCACAACTTCTTTTTTCACTCTGCCATCAATTGCTCCTCTTTCCGACCTCTCTCCATCTTCTTATAATCTATTTTGGGGTCCAAAGTTGTTCATCACTTGCTCTACATCCTCCTTTTATTTCTCTCCTTTCATTTTTTTCTTCCATACCAAGTCTTGCAGCTTAATTCACTTACTGTCATAATGAGTCTCTCCCTCACCCTCTGCTATCTTCCTTGAATTCTATGTTTCTCACCCTCTTGCTTTCTTACTCTTTGTTCCATCTCAGTGCTGTGTTTGTCAGCTAACTTTTCGGGGCCATCTGCTCAGCTCACACCCTGCCCCAACCCTGCTGCAACTTGCCATGCAAAAATAACAAGGGGAGTCCCGGGGATGTGGCTGTTTCACAAGGCATCTTAAAAGCATAGTACCGTAAAGGAGACCGGAACCTGTCTGTGAGAGAGTTGTGCCAGGGGATGCAGGGATGAATGGATGGATAGAGGGGGGAGGAGTGAAGAGACCATACCTCGTGCAATCCTGAGCACCCTCATGATGCGGATAATGGTGGGGTTGATGGGCAGTGAAGCGTTGACCTCAATCTCCTCCAGAGTGATGCCCATGATGGACAGCAGCACGATGGCCAAGTCCAGCTGGTTCCACCTACACAGACACACACACACAGAATTACTAATCAGTCCCTAACACTGATTTTAATCACTTAGACTCTGTTCAGACCTGGTTTAAACATCCGTCCAGACCGATGCGATCACAAGTGCACAGCTCTAAGTGAGTTGCATTGATGACGCACTTGAGATCTGATCCAAAACCAGATCACTCATTCAGAAGTCGTCTACGTGTATGGCCACATTCTTCCAGCTGTGTTAAAGGTTCACTGATGTAGCCTTCAGTTGTAATAAAAACTCAAAAGGTCTTTAGTTTGTCCTGTCTGGGCTACTGTAAAAAAAAAAACAGAGTGGAGTGGACCCGCTCCTAATGAAATATAAAGTATTTCAATATAAAGAGCCCATTCTAAGGTAAATAAAACAACAATTTGTACAATTTAGATGATTATACATGAGTGAAAACACCAGTTAGACTATTTTATGTCAATTTCTGCCAATAGATTCCTTTCACCTCAATCGTACACACTGGACCTTTAACACAATTGCATTCTGGGCCACATATGAAGGACCAACCCTGATACAGTTTCACAATAAATCAAAAGTATTTTTAGTCTTCTCAGGGTTTCTACTGTTTCTCTGTTCTCTCCGTCTCACATTGATGGACAGAACCACACATTGACAATAGACATACATGTATAGTCAGACTAGATAACAGAATGACACATATTTATTTGCATTAAGAGCGACGAAGTGAACACATTCAGGATGCATTGTGATACGTGACCAGGCGTATTTAGAGCTGCCCTATTGTTATAGGATCTATCAGGACAGATGTTTATACAGGGTCATAAATCACTTTTTTCATCTAGTGGCTAATTTTCTTTCATAGAGATGTGAAATTGTGTCACATGACTCACTTGGACGAGGGTTTGAATGGACTCACAGGTCCCCATGACCTTAGACTCAACAATATATTAATGATTAATACTCATCAGTAGGAAAAAAACTGTGGAATTTCTTTTGAGACTCTGCAAGAGCTTTGTCCTGTTTTGAGAAAATTACTTCTGATGACATGTCATAGTGATGTCATTGGCTTGGAGACACATTTATTATTTTGTGTATAAAAAAAACAGTGATGCATACATAGATGTTTCTGTTTTTTCCATCTGTTATTTGCAGGATTATGCAAAAACTACTGGAGGAATTACAATAAAACTTGGTGAAAGGGCTAAAGAAGCATTAATTAATTTTGGTCTGGATCTGGATCAAGGGGCAGATCCAGAATAATTTTTCTTTTTACTTTCTTTAACATTGTGAGATAAGGCATTTTCAATTTTCATTTATTTCTCAAAAAATAATTAATGAATCTTCAGGGAATATTTATGAGTGTGTGCAATTTGGTTCAGATCCAAATAAAAGTCGGCATCTAGTGAATTTAAATGTGGTTTTAAAGTGGGCTGTTGGCCCTTGGCGGAGGTAAGTTCTACTGAGTGCCATTCTTTCTATTAGGCAGACAGGTTTCCAAGCTGCCATTCTCAAGGCCATTTGAATATTATGGGACACAAAGGTATTAAAGTAAAGGTGCTCATTTGCACAAAAGAATTTCATGGCATTTTTGGCTTTGAGACTAAGACTAGATGCTACCATGCAAAATGTCCATACTATAAATAAAGTTGCATTTTGTAGGATGTGCGCTGTGACACACAATTTATTGAGTGGGACTTTTTGGAACAAAATGAGAACAAAGATTCAGAGTGAATGATGCATGTTTCTGCAGCTGCAGTGCTACAAACTTTGTACAACTTTTCAACCCTGCAGTGATGAAGTGTTTAACACTTTTCGATTTTTGGAATGTGTGAGATTTGGGATTTTTAATTTTTCCAGAGATGACAGAAATAAACCGCAAAACTTAAGTCATCCACAGGATACTGATCATTTTCTGGATGAAAGTGCATGGGAGAGGGCAGACTATTTCAGTGTTATGAAGCAAGCTGACAAACCAGCAGTAGTATCATTTCATTTTAGTATCGTAAAGAGAGATATGGTGCGTTCAGATCAGTCAGTGGGACACTCTTTTACTGTAACTTCAAGTGTTGTGAGCAAATCTTAGTTCCTTGTGCAATGAATGTGGACAGAATGTTTGTCATAAAGTACATTTATAAAAAGTGAAGATAGTTGTAGGTGGTCGTACTAATCAGGTTTGTCTATTTAATGTCCACATTTAGATACTCAAAGTGCACAAGTAAACACAAAATCAACTTCAAAATTCAACAAGCCTGTAAAATTAGACCTCTGGGGGTCTTGGCTGAACGTTGTGTTTATCTGTTTGTGTGTATCTGTGTGTATTGAGGTAATATCAAACTGCATTGCAGCCAACAGCAAAAAAGAAAAAAAAGGATAATGGTCTGCTCTGGCAAAGAGAATGGACATCATGGAGCCCTTGGTGGTCAGTTTGGGTCCAGAAACTATGAGGGGGTGTTTGTGTGTGTATTCATGTATGTGTGATGTGTGCTTGTATATGTTTGTGCTGATGCGATTGTGTTTGTGCATTATTGTGTGGTTTTCAGCAGGAAGCCAGAGATTTCGAAGCTATGAAATCATCTAAGGCAGCATTTTTTATGAGTGTTTAACAAGGCTGTTTGTATTCATACAGGCCTCGCTGAGAACCGTGCACTGAGCACCTTGGAAAAAAGCTCATTTGAGTTCTTCGAAGGCTGCCTCAGATTTTCCACATGACTCAGGGGTTATAGAACGGTACCTTTTGAACAAATCTATTTGAATGACATGCCTGCTAAAATGTCAAACCGCTAAACTTAGAGGGAGATGTTTATCCGGAATCTCCGTCTGACCTAGGTCAGAGACGTTCAGGAAAGGTCACATTGTCACTTTAGGAAGCAGTTATGTAAATACTGACTTGTCCTTGAAAAAGCGTCGGAAACCAAAGGCCACCAGCTTGAAGACGGACTCCAGGACAAAGATGAGGGTGAAAATGTAGTTGCAGATCTTTAATGCCTCGTCCAACTCCTGGGAGAGCAAAGATTTAAACGTTAGATTTGAACAAACTGCAGCAGCATCCATCTTAACAAGCTAGTAAACCCAGAATTAAATATTGTGTTATTCTCCCAGAGTGAGCTGTGGCTTTCATCAATCTTTTATTAAAATTTGCAATGAACTGCAGTGAAAACAGTGGTTTTTATATTTACTTGACTCAGATTAAGTTTGCTATGGTTCATTGTAAATGTACAATTTTCCTGCATTTACATTGTTCCCAAGGAATAGCACAGAGTCCATTTTGTAAACTCTGTCCTTTTCTCCAAAATTAGCTGTTCCATTAATAGATCCCTCATATCGCCCTCCCTCATTCTCTATGAAAAGGCCATTAGAATCAAAGTGTCCATTTTAGCCTGTGGGAGAATTCAACAGTGCCCATGTGCGTGTAAAAACTGACCTTTAACTGAGAGACATGGAGAGAACTGGTAGCCAGCAGGGATTTCACAAAATCCTCACTGGTGGCCATCCGTTAACTAACGGCTATTACCAGTAAGTGACAGATCCCTTTAATGAACTATTTTATAACATTACAACCTGTTCAACATCGTTATCGATGATACTCACACCAAGAACCCTGTATACAATATTCTACAGAATCCCTCAAGGCTGTCTATGAAATCACGCCCTGATTCACGGGAGACTGCATTGCAGCCGAATGACTATGCTCTCGCGTTTCGAAGGATCCTTCAAATGTGTCCTTTCAGCTCAGATCAATTAAGGCTCCAAAGGGTGGCTCTTGTTCAGGCCAACTTTACCCAGGATTCATTGCACTTCAGTCACAAATTGCTTTTCAACAAGATAATGTTGGTGGCTGACTCTCAGTGGAACATCCAATGCTTACACTTCTGATTAATAACTGTTGCTGGTTCTGTCAGAGGTTTCTTCCTGTTAAAGCAAGTTTTCTTCTCTCCGCAGTCGCAAAGTTTTTCCTCGTTGTGGGAATTGTTGCATTTCTCCTTAATTTTGTCTTGATCATATTATGTTAAGTCCTTTGGGATAAAAGGAAATTGAACTGAAATAGCCATTTGAAGACTTTAATTCAGTTTAAAAATGCTGAATATTTTCACACAATAAATAATTTGTTATACTGTTTCTCCTGATTATTATTATTTTTTATTTAGATCATGTACTTTTATTTTGCTGGGCACTAAATTTGGCTTGTAGAACAGGATGTGATATATTGCTGCCCAATATTGCCCAATATGCTGCACAAGATTTGCAATCAAATCCAAATGTAGGTGCCACTAAATCACTACTACAAGATTTCAAGAGCACAAGACAACCTCTGGGAGTCATTTTGAATAATTATTAGAATCCATGTATCAACATTTGAAGTCAACCGCCCATGATTCCCCTCCCTCTGACCCGGGGCTGCTCGTAGTGCTCCATGGACATGGTGATGACGTTGAGCCCGATGACGATGGTGATGAACAGGTCCAGGTAGTGGCTGGTGCACATCTTGTGGATGAGCAGTCGGGTGGGGGAGTAATCGGAGTAGTAGGGCTTACTCTGAGCTTCTGTTGGAAGTGGGAAGTCGGGGGGGGAGAGGTTTGCAGGGAGTGTGGGGGAGGAGGAGGAGGAGGAGGAGGGATGGGGGGTTTTCATAAAGTGAGACAGGAGGATATACACTTGGACACTGCACAATTGACCTGCTGTGTTTGAAGAGCGGAGCCTCCGAAGCTGCTTTAAAAAAAGAAGTGGTTAGTGGAACATGACAACACCTCCCTGCACACTATAAACACTGTAAATGTGTTATAACCACTTACGATGGCTGACTCACAGTAAGAAAAGAAACGTGTAAAGAGATGTAAGGAGATTACAAAAGGAGGGAGGCAGATCAGATAATGGGCAGGGAGAGAGACAGACTCCAGCCACGCTCTCCTGTGGTCTGCAGTCATGACTAATCAAATCAAATCTCCTCTCCTCAGATCAACACTTATTTAAATTGACTCTCCCCTGAGTGAGTGTGATGGGAGATAAACAGCGTTGCTAAATGTCTCCATGTGTGTGAGGCAGAGTCTCCATGGAGGAGGCTGCTGTTGGAATATTTGGGTCTGGAGATTTGGTCATCTCTCCCTCTGCCTCCCTGATCGCCATGTGACTGCAGCCTCCCCTGATCTCTTCCACCTCCCTCGTCGGAGGAAAAGAATATAACACAAGAGAGAAAGTTTTCCACACTCATCCATCACCTTGTTCCTCACCTCCTTCCTCCATCCACAGAGGATGGATGGATGGGCTGGGGGGCGAGGAAGAGGAGAGAGGAGGCTCGCTCTATGTATTACCCCTATCGCTCCATCAGTGAAGGAGGTGCTATAGCAAATGACATAGACACATGGGTATACTGAAAATCCAAGAATCCTTTGGGTGTTGTGAGCAATCCAGCTCTGCCCAATTAGCCCAGGTGTATTGCTTTGGCTGCAGCTGTGCTGGGCTGATTCCCAAGATGTGGTGTGTGTGTGTGCGTGTGTGTGTGTGTGTGCAGTTCATGGTGCGTGTCTAGTGGTTTCCTTCTCGCACTGGAGAACCTCAGGGAATAAGAGAGGAGTGCTGAGTGGGCAGTGTGTTAAAATAAATATACCCACCTGTCCCTGGTGTTAAATATACATCTGCAAACTTTTGGGATTGAAATTTGTGTCATTGAGATAAACCCAACTCCTGACTCCTCCCTTTAAGAAGCTATTTTTACAGTTTTTGGCCAATCACTAATATTGGCTGCTCTGTAGACAACAGATACAACAGATACTACATGTTATCTTTAAAATAGTGAAAGAGCTTTGCCCTATGAGCAATGAGGGTTAATTGATCACTAATATGTTGCCTTTTTTGTACTTTATACATTTTCAGCAGTCATGTCGTCCGTCTTTACATACAGTCTATGGTTTTGGCAAAAAAACAAAGAATTAAGGTTTGATTTTCTTTGCTATCAATTAAATAATGGCACTGTCGACTGCTAAGTTGTGGCAAAGGTCTGTACTCCACTGAGTGCTTTCAAGTTAATTATTCTGTATATGTGCACAAGGGTCATCTCTGCTATTTTGTGCCTGCTGGTAATGACTGATAGTGACATTACTGGGGAGATGAAGGTGAATGCTGGCGGAACCACAGGGCTGCCAGTGATAGAGCCTGACTGCTCCTGAGCTCCTACAGAGATGTGCGTGCCAGAAAGTTGGAAAAATTTGGCTTCTGGTGTGCTTGGTCTGCCTCGGTGCATAAACACACGGAAACTGGTTGGCATCCTGTTTTGCTCTTTTGCACCTCAGGCGCTGGAATCGTGTTGGCACCAACCCTGCCTCATCTTATCAGCAGCTTTTTAATGAATGAGGTGAACCTTTTTATGAACATTTCACTGAGTAGACAGTGATAAAGCATGTTTACAGTGCGTTGGGTAAGTCTGGGCACATGTCTGTGAATCCGGGCAGCTATAGGTATGGCCCTTGAGGGATGCACCAACTTGGTTCGTTCAGTGGGGGTTCCTATTTACAAGCTCCTCCATCATGTTTAGATGAACAAACATTATTTGTACTCTGCTCTACTTAGTGTGTGCAGGTGCTCGACAAGCTGAGGCAGACAGACGCACACACACACACAACAGCAGCCCCTTTCTTTCACCTCCTCTTCGTAATTCCCTAATTTATCTAATTGAACTGCCAACACAACTTTTTCTATAGCATCTGTCCTATTTACATTACTATCTCAAAAAATACAAGGTAGAGAAAATCTGATTAATATGGGCTATAAAAATGTAATTTGAGGAGTAACTAAGCATAATATATAGTAGTCTTAATATTATGGATGGGGCAGGAAGGGCAAGACCGAACAAGAGGTAAGGGACAAGATAGACAGAAACCTTTTGGCTAAAGCTCAACTAATCTCCAGAAGAGCAAGGAGGGAATTAAGTTACAGAAGAAAAGGTGAAAGTTTAGAAAGTGAAATTACTTGGACCGCTGCAACTCTGCAGCTCTCACTTTTCTCCGCCACAGGGGAAAGAGGTGAGCGTCTCTTAATGAGGAATGGAATATCTTTTATTACTATTGAGTAAGGTAGAAACAGATGGCAATATATGAAGAAATTAATGAGGAAATACTGTTTTAGCTATTGCTCTCTCTGTCCCCCGCCCTTCACTGATGTGGCAGGCGGAGCCTCCTCTCTCAGCTCTGACATCACTTTGACCATGAGCAAGGATGGATGTGAAGGCACAGAGGGGTCACAACCTGCCTCTGCATCTTCATATCTAACAAGAATTCACTGTACATTAAACAGACCAGTCAGGACCATGATCTCATGGGGACTTAGATCTCATAGAAATTTCTAAAGCTGAGGGTTTTTTTGTTTGTTTGTGACCAAAATGGAATCAATTTAGGCTTTTTATCCAACAAGCTGTCCAAGTTGGGTCTCTCTATCCCACTCTATCTTCTTTTATTGCCAGTGTCCATCAGATGTAGCTCTGTCGCGCTGCGGCTGTGTCAGGCCTGCTATATGTTCACCTTTGGTTCCCTTTTGTTCACTCTTAAAGTGCAGAGGCTGCATTTTTTAAAGCTGAACAATCACTTATGGGTTCGTAAGAATGCCACAATATGTTTGAGATTTTAAGATAATTAAACTTCGGAGATGTATGTGATTTGTAACTTCACTGAAGGATCTAGGATTTCTCTAAATCAGGGGCCATAAAGGGGCCACAGTTTTACATTATTGTCATCTTATTGTTAGTGACTAGATAAAAAAAAAAAATAAGACCACGGACAGAACAGGGGCCCCTCAGATTTTAGCTGGGGCCAGTGTCCCCCACTTTATCCGATCCTGGAATTTGTCCTTACAGTGAGGCCTATACAGCAAATCATTCGACACAAACTTTTGTTTTGTCAAAAACTCAGCACAGCCAACAGCTGGTGAGGAGTGGGACAGATACAGGCTGGACTGAAAAGTTTGGTTCAGTCTCCTCCTGCTCTTCATTATGACTAATGATGTGTTTAATGCAGAAGAATTCACTATATCCCGCACTGGCCTTTTCGTCTGTAATTTAGGTTTTAAGAAAAACTGGGGGTTGTCTTACATTGGAGGACTTGCATTCAACTCCATGGAGCCAAGAATAACAAATGTTACAGATGATAATAAAAGAGTCTGTAAAATGCTGTCAGGCTCAGTATTTCTCACCTCTTCCAGCGCCTGACAGAAGATAGTGTGAATCTGACAAGATGCAAAACATTTTTTGTATTACCGCGTTTCATGTTTTACTTATAACAGATAAAAGGTTTCAGTTATGAGGAACTACTTCTCCTAAGATAAATGGCATCATGGGGAAACTTCCCCGACAGGACAGATGTAAGTACTTCCTATCCTCAGAAAGTCTATTTCTTATAAACAGATGTTTGCAAAACAGAAGCTGTCTTTTAATCAGGGTCGTCTGATAGTTTGGTCAGTAGGGAGTAACACTGACCACAGCTGTGGTTCTGGAAAGAAATGTCCCATTCATTTTCTTCATTGACGTTTCAAAAATTCAATTCAAGCTTTTAAGTCGACCTGACCGCAACAAATTTAATTCTAAGCATTAAAAAAATTGGAAAATAGAAAAAAAGCAAAAGGTGGGGGAACTACACATCCCATAAATTAGAGCAAAAGATCCCTTTCCAATCTCTTGGCTTGTGGTAAGTCTAACTTTATGGATGATAATCAAAATCTCTATTCAGAAAATAAATGGGATTTTACATCCAGAACTACTGTTGAGCTCTGTAGGCTAGTTCTTCTCATTTGCATACCTTTCTGTTTTTATTGTTCGACAATGGAGCAAGTACGAAATAGTTATCTATTTGCAGCTGACATATACAATTACATGTTAATCACTCATTCCTAAGCTGTACTGCAGCACTGGAGCTTGGGAGAAAGAATGCAATTATAAATCTTAAATGCCTAATGTGGATGTACAGTAGGTGGTTTTTCTATACACTGCTCCATTGTTGGTTGGTGCAGTAATTTTACTAAAAGTAAAAACAAAATATCTTTTTCCCACAAATGTACATTTTTTTGCTTGTGTAACATCCATAATGTCAGCAATATGATAGAATTGTGGTTACTACAGGACTCTGACACAGCGATGGAGCTGTAGCTCAGCTGGAAAGTGCAGCAGCCACATCCTGTGGACATTGGGCATTAGGTTTCCTGCATGACTTCACTGACTGTAAGGAGATCTAAAGCCCCTGCTGAAAATCTGCCTGCGGTCTGACAAACAAAAAGAAGGCATAAAATAAGACTTAAAGAATTCCCTGTCCAATAACAACTCCCGAGAGCATCATTCCTCCTCCTTTTACCTTCTATTCTGTACTCACCTTTTCCTTCATGAAACCCTACCTTCCTCATCTTTTCAGCTCTAAAGGTTGAGGATTTGGTCTGGGAGTTGCTTTTGGATGCGACCACACTCAAAAACATATTCCATACATTTCCGAGGCGGTCTTTGTTGGGAAATACAGAGACAGTATCAGGGTCCTTGGCTTGTGGGACCGATGAGTAAGTACACCACGGC